AAATTGATGCTCAGAGAGGTTTGCCCAATATGCCATGGTTAGCAAATATCAGGAGAGGGACTGAAACCCAGATCTTTCTGACTGTAAATTCAGAGCTCCATCTATTGTCATTCTACCCGTTTCATAAAACTCCCCAAGGTTTAGCTGGAAATTGTATTGTGACTGTTTGGAAACATCTCCCTACCACCAACAAAGAACATGGGAGTGCCTATCATTTCAGAAGGAAGCTAGATGGCACAGTGGATAGAGTGCCAGGCCCAGAGTCAAGAAGACCTGAGTTCAAATCCAGCCTCAAACACTTACCAGCTGTGTGACCCTGGGCAAGTCACTGAACCCTGTTTGCTTCAGTTTCCTCATCTGTAAAATGAGCTGGAGAAGGAAATGGCAAACAACTCCAGTATCTTCGCCAAGAAAACCCCAAATGAGGTCACAAAGAGTCAGACATGACTGAAACAACAACAATCATTTCAGGGAAGTGTAACTATTATTATAAAGGTCTGTTTTGGATCTTTTTCTCTTATAGCTTATTAGGAGTTCTGGTCCCTTGACTAATTTGGGGGGACTTTCTGGAGTCAGTGTTTTCTGAATTCAAGGGTCCTTACCTAACATACTTATATAAGAAGGACATTATTTCTAATGCAAATTACTTGCTTCCTGAAGTGTTGAGGAAATTGAAAGAAGCAAATTAATTCATTAAGTACAAGACATTATGCCTCAGTAGGATACAGATACATTTAAGTATTTGGGATGTTAATGATTTACTAGGTCACTATAATATGGTGAAATCTGTGACCTGTTCATCACCTTTCCTAGTCAACTGCTTCAAGCCTTCCAATGGCAAAGGCTGTGGTCCCTAGATCATAGCATCATCAATTCAGAGCTGAAAGAGACCTCAATGCTAATCTAATCCAGCTCTTTCATTTTACATATGGGGAAACTGAGGCCCATAAAAGCTTAATGACTGCCCAAAGTCATATAGGAAGCAAGTGCCAGAGCTAGGATTCAAACTCATTTCCACTGACACACCTTTTATACACACCTTTTTTTCCTACTATACCAGTAAGCAAGAACTTTACTACATTATGATCTGTGCAATTTCTGTCCCTATGTTATTATTGCACAGACTATCCCTCAGGGACAGGAAGTTATACCTATATTTGTACTAAATCTCAGCTATAGGAATTCAGGCTTAAAGTATATTATCATTTTTGTCAGTCATTATTATTATCAGTGTGACAGTTCAAATATAAACACACACGTCCTGTTTTGATAATATAGTGGTATCTGGGCTTACATTTGTATACTTGCTATTGATAACCAATGAGCAGGTTTGGTTAAAAATGACTAACCATCCTTTCCATCCTGTGAACTCATGAAGTTAATTTTTTAAGTGTGGTCTTTCTTTCTTTGAGCTTCTGTCACTATTCCTGGGCTCATGGCTGTCCTGGAGACTTTGCTTGAGAAAGGGATGAAACATTTTCAATTATTGTCTGTCATAGAAGTATTCTTTAACTCTACCTCTAAGAATCTCAAGTTTCTTTCACAGAATCACAGATTTAGACTTGAAGAGGTGATAGAGGCCAGGTAGTCCAACCCTCAAATTTTACAGATAAGGAAACTGTTCTAGAGGGACTAAATTACTTGCCTAATGTCACACAACTATTAAGTAGCACACCCAGGAATTGAATCCAGGTCCCCTTAAAAAGAGCCTTTTTAAGTTGTTCAGAACCTGTCCCCTTCTTTTCACGTTTTCTTATACCTGATACTCCTTCACATACTTCATGATCCAGTGCCTATGACTTCCTGAATGTTCCTTACACAAAACACTCTGTCTCTAGACGGAGGGCACTGGATGTCCCCCATGCCTGGAATGCCCTCCCTCTTCATCTCTAGCTTCTGGCTTCCCTGGTTTCATTCAGGACCCAGCTAAAAGCCCACCTCCTGAAAGAAGCCTTTCTCAATCCCCTTAATACTAATGTTTTTCCTCTTTCCTTCCTATTCCCAGTTTATCCTGAATATATCTTGTTTGCACAAAGTTGGCTGCATACTGTCTCCTCTATTAGACTGTAAGTTCAGAGACTGTCTTTTGCCTTAGTATTCCCAGAACTTAGCATAATGCCTAGTACTAGCAGGTGCTTAATAAATGCTTATTGACTTGACTCTGACTCCAAATCCAACTCCCCCCCCCCTTTTTTTTACAATACCATGCTGCTTCTACATTCACCCACAACACCATCTTCTCCTGGAGTCTTTCTCAGGCTCCTCAGCTAAAAGTGCCTGCTCCTCTCCCCAAATTACCTTGTATCAATTTTATAGGGACCTCTATGCACATACAGGCTGTCCTTCCCAATTGAATATAAGCTTTGAAAGACAGAATTGTTTCACTTTGGTCAATGTATCCCAAGCACTTAGCACTGTGCTTGGTGATATAATAGACACTTAATAAATGCTGTTTGTTGTTCGGTGTATTTACTGCTGTTGTGTTCCCAGCATCAGTCAGTTAACACTGAAAGAAGTTGTTGCTTTATTGAACTGTGCGCTTCACTGTATCCTCAAAGGATTTTTTTCTTTTCTTCTTGATTTTGGTTACTTCTATGTATAGGCTACTTTTTTTTTTTTGGTGATGGTTTATTTCTATGCACGTAACTCAGCAGAGTTATAATCATCCTGAAAATTGCTTCAGTGCAGGTAGATGTGTGACATTTAGGGACTTCATGCCTCTCTTGCCCTTCTTCTTGCAGAAGAACTTGTAAGTGGTACTGATGAAATTCTCAAGAAACTTAATGTGATAGCTACAAAGAGAGAGCACCCCACAGCAAATAGTAGTGATTTAGGACTCAGGAAGACCTGAGTTCAAATCCTTCCTCTGACACTATTTGAGTGACCCTGGGCAAGTCACAATCTCTCGGCTTCGTTTTCCTTATCTGTAAAATGGGGGTAACAGCACCTACCTCACAAGGTTATTGTGAGGATCAAATGAGATAATATATGTGAAGTACTTCAAGAATCTTAAAACCTATACAAAATTTGCTATTATTATTAAGTCTTAGATCTCTCAGTCAAACTGAGAGTTATTGCTTCTTAGATTCTAACCACTGGAATTTGATGTGCCCATTTCTACTGGCAACAAATTCTCGTCTGCCAACCTTGCAAGGGACATGCTTGGTTTGGTTTCAAGATCCTTGTCATTCATGGCATAGGTCATCTGAAAAGGATATCTGCTGCTCAAATATGGAGCAGATTACTTCCTTCTAACTGTATAGGATATAAATTCAATTCAAGGCAATGAAACAAACATTTTTTAAGTCTTTACTATTTGTAAAACATTGTCTAGGTCCTGGACTGATCTCACAGGAAACGAGACTTGGCACCTTTAGTTCAATACCGATACTTTTTTTTTTTTGGAGGCGAGGTGAGCACAATGAGAAGAATCTTGAGAAAAATGCTTGCCCCAGGAAAAGGAAATCTGAATTAAAACTCTGACCTTTAATGCATGTCAGTAAGGTTTTCAATATGCAGGCATTTTGACATCAGTGCTCAGCCCACCTGAGCAAATTCCCTTTAAGATGAGAAAATGCTCTCCTGGACGACTCCTCCAGGAGTGACAGTGCAGACCTGCAGATTCTGTTCACAAACTTGATTTCCATGACCCCTGGCAGAAAGTTTATTTCTTCCCCCACTCCTCTTGCCCCACAACCTTTACAAAAATAAAAACAAAAATCCTTCTTCTCAAAAAAACAAAAACAAACCTAGAGTGGGCAGTCAGCAAAGTTGGGTCATGTGATTTCATCCATGAAGGGAACTCTTGGAATGCAAAATCCCTCTGCTGATGCATATTGGCTACTGAACTTTATAATTCAAAGAATCGAGTGGATCCCTGCAATATTAAGTTACTTGCCCAGTATATGTTAGAGGCCACAGTTGAAACCAGGTCTTCCTGATCTGAAGACCAGACTATTATCCACTTACATTAGGCTGCTTTTAAACTAAAAATATGTAAGTTTAATTATTCTTTAGGGAAGCTAGGTGGCTCAGGGGATAGAGTGCCAGGTCTGAAGTTAGGAAGACTCTTCTTCCTGAGTTCAAATCTGACCTTAGACACTTGCTAGTTGTGTGACCCTGGGCAAATCACTTGCCCCTGTTTGCCTCAGTTTCCTCATCTGTAAAATAATCTGGACAAGGAAATGGCAAACTACTCCAGCATCTTTTCTAAGAAAACCCCAAATAGAGTCACAAAGAGTCAGACATGAGTGAAATGACTGAACAATATATTATCCTTTGAAAAAAAAAATTCTGTAATGGGCATGTCAGTTTATTCTCTTACAACTCCATTTACCACTTTCTAAAACAAAATACCCCTCCCTGGGCACCACTCCTCTAAATGTGAATTCCCCATTAGAATGTAAGCTCTTTAAAGGTCAGGACTGACTTTCCTTTTGTATTTGTACCCTCAGAATTTAGTATAGTGCTTGGCACACAGTAGGTGCTTAATAAATGCTTTTTAAAAATTATTCATTCAACGAGGATATTTTTAGAATAAGATATATCAGATAGTGAAATGAAATTTTAGAGGAGGAATGAGATCTTGCTGGTCACAGAGATCATTTCAGTGAATCCAAGAGGTCAAAACAATTTTCATATTAGTACTAAGGTGTATAAATTTCTAACACAGTAAATATCAATGGATATTGCCACATAAACAAAACCTTCCTAAGGTCTTCAACAATTTTTCAAAGTGTAAAAGGGTCCTGAGACCAAAGAGTTTGAGAAATATTGTCTCCTACAAAGAACTGTCCTAACCTAACCTCAAATAAGGTTGACTTTTCCTGCTCCCAGCAATTAAGGTTGAAAGACGTCCTTTTGATCTGATCCTGCTTGACTTTTAATCATCAGAATCAGTATTAGGAAAATAATCATTTTTAATTTATGACTTCCTGTATTTACATCTTCCAAATTATGTCCACGCTAATAAATGACCTCTATTCTCTCTCTTTTCTCAGGCAAACATGAAACAGCTGGTGCTAAGCTCTTGAAATCTTATCAGAAACTGAGGTTAGTATGGTAGAAAGGACAAGTTGTCCTAGGACACTGAAGTACAAAGAAGCTTATAGGACATCAGAAAAGAACTTTTCTATGTGTCAGAGCTTTGAATTTCAACTTCTTTATGCTGAGGTCTTTGACAAAAAGATTTGAACCTAGTTTCCTATATGTTCTTATTGAAAATTCTGTAGTAGACTTTTTTCAAGCTAAGTATTTTCTTTGTATGAAATTTCCCTGAAATTTAATGATATGGGAGTATTGAATGATGCAAGCGCATGATTGTAAATTATCATTCATGTTACACATTAATACTAAAAGGTCCAGATATACCGATTGTCTCAGTTGACAGTTTTTAATATAATTTTAAACAATTTTACCATATTTTACTATAATTTCTACTATCTGTACAAATGAGCTTTAAATATAAATAATTAAAAGCATACATTATCATTTTATTTTGGAAAACAATTTTTCATCCTGTTTCTGTTATGTTCAAGTATACTGTGTCAATGTAGTTTGGTCCTTTGATGCAATCTTAAATTCTGGTCCACATGGAACTAAAACGACAGCAATGGAGAAAAACTATATAGCAAAGTGGTCTTCTGTATTTTCCCTTTTGTGTAAATGCATGGAAACTTAACTTTCCTGAAGCTGGCAATCAGCCCCACTTGTTACTGCATTTGACTCGAGTCAAGCTTTACTATGATTTTTGCCTTGAACAAAAATTGCTTGGCCTGGGCTTAGACTTATCGTCAGTAGGATTTTTCTATCTTCGTTTTCTTAGACTTCTCTAAGCAAGTTGCGTCTGAGCATTTAACCCTTTTCAGTTGATGCTTTTTTGCAACCCCCTTCCTCCCAAACTCTGAGGCCATTTTCCAAATGACATCTCCTGAACAAGAGCACCCAGACTCAGAAAGCTGCCCGTGGCTAGTATGGCCAAGGAGAAAGAGCCCTGATAGTAATTCTACTCTGCAGCCTTATCGCTTTATCTCAAGAGGCCTATTTGGTTCTAGTTTATGGTTAAAGATGTGAAATACTCACATATCGGAGGATGGAAAACTCCCTTTCTCGATAGAGCGCCTATAGTGATATTAATTATGGTGAATTATTGGACTTGATCTAGAATGAGGCTTTGGAGAGTATAAAACTTGAGGTAGGGAAAGCTGAGTTTTTCATGATATCCTAATAGTATATTTTGACCTTTTCCCCATACCTGCCCCCTACCTTGATTTTGTATTTGGTTTCTTACTTCTGTGTATTTCCTTGACGACAGCAAAATTTCCGTGCTTCCTCCCACTCCACCACCTGTCAGTGAGAGCCATTGTGGATCCAACACAGGGGTAATGTATCTGTTTGCACTATCTGCTTCTATGGCGAAGGAGAGACAGAGAAAGAGGAAGGGGACCAGGACAGCCTTTCTGAGAGACCTAGAAAAGGGTCCTAACTTATGTTGGTCTTAGAAGAACACGCAGTTCCTAAAGACATAGTTTATCAAGTTTCCTAATGCTGCTGTCTCGAGCAAATTTAATCAAGGTGCCATTGTCTCTCAGTTTACCTTAATTTTCTTGTGTGGCATTGCTATTCCTCCAGGCTGGGCTTCTGCTAGCATCCTGAGGTCCAATGACTGACCAATCCTATGACCTTTTTTACTGATCTGTTCAGTCAGGCTCTTTCCCTTTCATTTCATACATTTGATCACAGATCTTTGTACCTGCCCAGTTTAATGTGTGCATCTGATATGTTGCTATATGTCTGAGTGTCCACCTTTAGACCACATTGTAATCACCTGTAAGATGAGTGGGCAGTGAGGGAGAGTTGGATTATATAATGGCCAAGGCTCCTTAAAGCTCTAATATTCTATGAATCTATATCTTATGCACAGCTGGCACTGGTCAATTTTTTGGGCACAAAGTAAGCGGCACAAAATCAATTGATCAGTTAACAAGTTCTCAAGTATCTCCTATGTGCCAGACACTGTGGTTGAACCCTCAGTTCAGTCGGGGTTGCAATGGAAAAACCCCAAGGACACCACAAGGCCACTGCTGAGGAGGAAGGGTATAGGAAACCCTGGGAGAGTTTACCTGTGGAGGAAGTATGTCCATCAGTAGAGGAAGTACATAAACATCTGGTAGCTTCCCGGTTTATTTATTCTTGCTAACTAGGTGCTGAACTCTGCTGTTTCTCCATTACAGAAATACAGCGATGTCAGCACCTTTTAAATTTTGGTACCTGAGTGCAAGTTTCAGTTGCCTCACACTACTTACAGCCATGGTCTTATGTATATCAGCGTAGGAATGTATGTGTCCTGTAACCATATCTGTTTGGGAATGGGAATATATGTCTATGGAAATGTGTGTATGTACCTATGTGCTGGTACGTTTGCAGAAAGCTATGCCTATGCACTTGGGTGTGAGTGGGTATATGAAATCTGTATGTAAGTGGGCATAATAGCAGGCATGGAGAGAGGGAAAGGAATGAATCTGTGCATTCTGATGGCTAATTTCAAACTGGGATATGAATGTTCCCTTCTTCCTTTAAGCTTTTAAGTTCTCTTGTATCATTCCTATATAAAGGTGAGCCTTTAGAGGAAAAATGATCTATTTTTTTTTTGTACTTTTCCCCATTCCTTTACTATTTCTTTTGTGTGGGGAGAAAACATTCAGTGGCGCCAACCTGGTTATCCAGGCTCCCCTGTAGCCTTTACCCCATAACACTGCTGTTTTCTGTAGCAGTGTGGGAAAGTTGGGGAGAGGAGGAGAAGGCAAGGCTGTAGGAGAGGAAGGAGGGGACACAATTGGGTGGGAAACAATCTCTGGGCCAATGAAAAGTTGGTTCTTTTTCTTCTAAGGACTCACTATACCGCTTGCTCTCTTTCTAAACAATTGACAAAGTCACCCTCTTCTAATGCAGGTCTTAATAGATAGTGGAGGGTAAGGTCTTGGACTTCTGTAAAACAATGTGCTAGTTTTCATACACACACACAAACACACACACCCCTATGCCTCTGTGCTTTTAAGTTGGGGATTTAGAGCCTTTTGGGCCAGACATAACTCTTACTCTCTCTGTTTTAATACAGGAACTTGGTCAGCTTAAAGGATTTAATAAATCGATGGAAAATTTGTTTCTCTCTCTTACCACACACATAAAAAGTAAGTGAATGCCCCTTGACTTATTCTTAATAGGCCTAAGCAAGATCACCAATCAATGACGAGTTGATAACAACCTTGACAAACATTTATCAAGTGCCTTCTTTGTACCTTCTTTGTGCAAGGTGATGAGAAAAAAAACCCAACCCCAAACAAACAGAGCAATCTGTCCTCTCAAGAAGATTACATTTTACTGAGTAGAAACATTCAGGACCATTTCCATATGATGGGGCCTCCGTCTCTGTTGAGCAGCCATTGACACTTTCCCCATCAAATTGTTAATCAACAAGCCCTTATTAAGTCCATACTACATGCTGGAGACGCAGAAACAAAAATGGAACAGCCCCTGCTGCTCTCAAGGGGCTTCCATATACCAAAGCTAGCTTGGGCTATGGATTCGTCCATGCTCCATTTCAGTTCTTAACAGGTGCAGCAGGCTAGTCATCCTAACCAAAGCATTGGGTTGTTTTGTCAGTGTGCCCCCAAAAATCCTGCTTTAAACTGATTTGATTCATTTAGAGTCTCTGCTGCCCCACCCCTTCCATCCCTCACCCCAAGATATTATAACAGCCCTTCAACTCTATCGAGGTTTGAGGAAACCACTTGGCAGCAGATTCTATGGTTTATTTGGATTTTGTGTGGGTTATTTCAGCCTGTTACAAGTGCAAAACAAAACAAGAAGCCTGCCCAATTGAACTTATTTGATACTTGAATACAAAAATAGAAACCTTCAGATGTCCTGTGACTCAATATTTTGTTTGATTTTTCTCCATTGTTTCCCTAGCCTCGCTTCCTCCTTAGCTCAAAAAGTTGCTTTTGGCAGTGCTTACACAGGTTGCAAACAAAGAGTGCTTGCCAAATTATCCTTAGAACATCTCACCACCTTCTGGGACAGTCTGTTTTTTCCCCTGCCCATTTGTCTTAAAATGTAAACCTCCCTGAGCATCATCTATATTCAGGGATATGCTGGTAAATGTTTAATAACTGGCTCTTTGGGGGAAAATAAAAAACGTGCCCATGACACACTTTGAACATTTTCTCCATCACGTTCTTAAGCCTCGAGCTAGACAATCGACAAATAACCCACTGAGCCCTGATTTGTAGCACTTCCCAATTTCTGAGGTATAGATATGTTGGAAATTTGATAGTTGGCCCATATCTTTTGTCTTCCCTGAGGGCAAGCCCAGACTAGGTCCTCAGAGCTCATATTTACCTAGTCAGAGGCTTTGTGTTTCTTAGGTCCTCTTTCAGGGTGTTTTTATTTGTCCTCTTTAGTAACCTGTTTTCTGTAGCTCCACACGGAGCCTTCCAGTATAATTCGTATCTAGGCTCTGGGCTCATCTTTAATTAGCCATCTTCCTTCCTAACAATCCATGCTTCCTCTGAATTTGAACCAAACCCAGTTATTCTGTTGGGCAGACATACGTACTATGTCCCAAAACAGTTTGTGGCAGGAATTTCCTTAATATTTTTTTTATTTTGTTTTGTTTTTAGGCAATTGGGGTTAAGTGACTTGCCCAGGGTCACACAGCTAGTAAGTGACAAGTGTTTGGTCTGAAGCCGGATTTGAACTCAGGTCCTCCTGACTTCAGGGCCAGGGCTCTATCCACTGCACCACCCAGCTGCCCCGAATTTCCTTAATATTAAGAGGAGGAGGAGCAACCCTTTGCTTTGTTTACTTGCTGGAAGGGTTAGCTGGTTTTTAAAAATGCTTGCCCTGCCAGGCTCTTTGTTAGTCTCCATACTCTAGAAAAGAGAGTAAAGGCTGATGATTTTGTACAACTCTGCCCCACTTTAATCTAATTGACGGGCAAGTCAAGATATCACCTCTTGATGATTGGTCCTCTTTGAAAATGAAGGACAAACAACAACAATTGTGTGTATATATCAGCCTGGCAGGTAGATTTTCAGGCCCCCACCCCTCAAAAGCGAAAGCTTCATTGATCTGGTCTTATCTCTTCCAGCACATCTAAGAGCCCCCATTCCAGTCACCTTCTCTACCACCAATGGATGGTATAGTGAAAAGGGTACAGTCCCTAAAGACGGGACCTGGGTTCAAATATTGCTTCTGATGCTTAACAGCTGTGTGGCCATGGGAAGGAAACTCAGTCTCCTTGTGTTTCAATTTTCTCATCTGTTAATAAAAAAAAAAAAAAGAAGAGAGCTAGACTAGATGACCCTTTCAGCTCTTGATCTGGAACCTTCTACTGCCCCTTCTAGTCACTTATAGCTTCCCTACACAGTTTGCATCCAACATTTTGCAAAACCAGCTCCCCTGTGGTCCTTCTACTCATCCTGAGCCATAGAAACACACACACACACATACGCTCAAAGGCAGAAGGATCTTTTCTTACGATTTTTTCATAAGCACATGCAAACAGATATCCTCAAATACTCAGGTACATACTCATATGCTCAGGTACATACACATAGAAACAGATTTTAAACTCCTAACTTGATCCAGAGACGTCATGGTGGAGTGCAAGGAAGCATTATTCTTGAAGCTAGTAAGAGGTAGCGATGTGGTGAGTAGATGGAGAGCTAGGCTTGGAACCAGGAAGATCTATGTTCAAATCTACCTCTGTTACTTACTACCTCTATGACCAGTGACCACATATGTAGGTGTAAGTTTCCTCATTTGTAAAATGAGAGGGTTGGATTATATCTCGATTTTTATGTCATGGAGCCCTTTGGCAGCCTGGTAAAGCCTATGGACCCCATTGCAGAATAATATATTTAAAATACTTAAAATATATAGGATTATCAGTTATATTGAAATACAGGTATCAGAATAGTTTTAAAAAACCCAAAACTCCTAAATTAAAGAATGCCAAATTAAGAACCCCTGGATTAGATGGACTCTTACTAAGATCCTTTCTAGTTCCACATCTATGCGTCACAAGACTTGAGTTCAAATCCCAGATCTGCCACTGTATGACCTAAGACAAGTCATTTCCTATCTCTTAGTTTCTGATTTTCCATCTGTAAAATGAAGGTATTGGACTGGATGACCTCTGACCTAGCTTTGATCAAAGATCTTTACATGCTCATTGTGTAAGCACACACTCGTATATACGCACCTATGTATGTACATGTGTGCATCTACATAAACACATACACACACACACACACACACACACACACATATATATTCTCCCTGTATTTTAAAATCTCTAAATTGAAAATGTAGCAGGGGCACGGCCAACCCCCAGGAAGTGTTGTGAGAAGCTCAGTAATATTTTATTCACCGTCTTAAAGGGTTTAAAAACAGAAACTTGGACTATTGTCAGTCCCTTACTAGTTAAACAATGGGGTTGTAGCTGATGTCTCCCAGGACCCATCCAGATCTAAACCTAAGAGTATATGAAGCTAGGAGACACCCGTTAGGAATTATTTAGGTCACTGGCCTCAGTCCAGCAGGGGTCATAGCAGGGAAAGGAAGAAGGAAGGAAGGAGCAAATGTTTTCCAGACTTTGAGGGTGCTTTTGTGTCTAAGACATTGACTGTGGAGCTGGGGATATTTATTGTTGATCTCAATACACATTCCCTGGCCCTATCATTCATTAGCTGTGTGACTTTAGGTAATTCAGTTCCCTCTTTAGGCCAGTTTCACCACCTGTACAAATAATGGAATTGGACGATGTAACATCTCAGCTTCCTTCCAGTTCTTACATCTTATAATGCCTGGGTTAGGCTGTAGTCTGAAAGGCAATGACTAATTCACATTCATAGAAAGGCAGTGTAGCAAACTTAGAGTCAGAAGATTCCTAAGAGTCCCCACTTTGATACTTAATTAGCTGTGTAACCCTGGGGGAAAATCATAGCATCATAGATTTAGGGGTGGAATGGACCTTAAAGATAATCAATCCATCCCTCCTCATGTTATAGATAAGGAAACTGAGGCACATAGAATATCACACAGCTAGTAAGTGTCTGAGGGGATGGGGATTTGAACCCAGGTCTTTTTGTCTCTAGCCCCAGCACTTGATCCACTACTCCCTACATCTCTGTACCTCCTTCAGAGGGGTAATAATCTTTAAATTACCAACCTTTAAGGAAATTGTGTGATAAACCTCAAATATAAGTTATTTGGTGTATGGGAAGTGCCTTCATCCATTCGGTCAGCAGCCAATTTGTCATTATTAAGCTTTTCTATATTTTCTAATCTGTTTCTTCTTCGATACTAAAAGTTTTCCAGTAGTGCTATAGGGAGTAGATAAAAACCTCTGTTTTGGTGCAGGTGGAAGTGTATGTATGTGGTGGAAAGACAAGAAGGAGAGGAAGGGGGAACAGTGAGTGGGGCTGGAAGGAAAGAGGAAGAGGATACTGAGTTTGGTGCGTCCATCAGAGGGCAGTGTCCTTTCACTTGAGGGAGGAGTGATCCACTTTGGTAAAATCCATCATCACTAAGGCTTTCTCAGAGCCACTCGGCACCATCTCCTATAGCACTCTGTGATCTTCCCAGTTCCAAGTACTTTTGACTCACCGTAAGCAAAATAGTGAAGTATTTCTTGAGGAAATCTAGGTGCTTTTTTTAAAAATAGTGGTAAATCTCCAGAAGAGTTTCCATTTGATTGCCCTTCTTAGAAAAGGGGAAGGAGAATACAATGGAGATTATTGATTGCTTCAGAAACAGCCTGTTCTTCCCTCTCCTCGTTCTCATTCATCCCTATTGATAGATCATGGACTTAACCACGACAATATGTCAAATTTGTTGTAGCATCAATTGCTCAGGGGAATACTAATGATAGAAGTTGCAGAGAAGTGGAGGGAGTATCCTCACCTGGGAGTTACCTCTACTCAATCATAGGTCTGGTCCCTCTTAGTTATTTTCACCTTCTCCCTCTCCATTGTTTAAGGAAGCTTTTTCCTTCAGAGGAAATCAATGTTAAAAACCAGAGGATTAGGGGTTAGACAAAACATTTGGGTTGAAGACAATATTAGACCAGGGCTTAGAAATGAAAGCTCAAGTCCTTCCCTTCTCAAATTGAAAGTCACCCTAAGATAAGACAAATTTCTAACAGGTACTTTGGAGCAGGGTGTGGAAGAGGACTGCTAGAGCCGGGAAGCACTAATGTATAAGGGAAATGTTGAAGTAGCTTACTGGAGGATGTGGCAGAATGTCCTTTTTTTTTGATGAGATAGACTGTTATCTTCTACTCCTATCTGAATCATTACTAGGCAGAGAAGGGTATTCATTAAATATTGAGTGAATTCATATTCAGTCAAATGTTGTATGAATGATTATGAAGGTAGGCAGACAGGCTAGATTATCATTTAAGGTTGCCTTTGGGACCATAATAATAATAAGAAGAATAAGAATAATAACAATTAACAGTCGATATTTATATTGTGCTCTAAGGTTTACCAAGCATTTACTACGTATTGTCTCATTTGATCCTCCCAAGAACTCTGAGGGTGGTACTGTAGATGGTTTGGGGGTTTTTTAGTGGCGATCTGTGATTTCATTCCAGATCAACAACTCATCAGTGATTAATACTCTTAGAGGGCAGCCTACAGCATGGAAAGGATAAATTACTTGCCCATGGTCATACAACTAATATTGTGAGAGGCAGGAATAGAACCAAGATCTTCTTGACTCCAGGAAAGGTCTTCTATCCACTATGTCATGTTACCTCTCTTAGGAGGGGTATTATTATCCCCATTTTACACATGGAGAAACAGAGGCTTAGAGAGGCAAGCTACATAATTTGCTTACAGTCACATAGCTTGTAAGTTTCAGAAGTGGATGAATCAGGGACAACAGGAAACAAGGAAAAATTATAGTTTTTTCCCATTTAACTCTGTTCACTTTCTTCCCTTTTGTTTCAGGCAGTTACTAAATAGTAGTTCGTAAATTGTGACTCAGAATTTGTCATAAAGATACCTTTGGTCCCATTTAGTACTCCCATGTTAAAAAATTACCTGTAATATTATTTATTTATAATATTTTTGCAAAGAACTTCTTGAAAGGACTGATTATTTGTTACACTGCCAATTTTTAATTTGAATAAGCACAGAAAGGGTAGTGTTTAACTAGAGAGAAATATTCCTCTACAACTCTGGCACCAATAGTCATTTTCCAACTTCAGAGTAGTACAAGGCATATTCACATATTTTCATGAACTCAATTCTTCTTCATCTTTGCAAAGTGGAGTATAATCTTTGTCCAATATTTGATAGTTTGTCACTCATCCATTCTCTGGTGTCCCCCCAAGGTTCTTTCCTGGGTCCTCTACTCTGTTTACCCTCTCTCAGTGACCTCATCAGCTCTCCCAGGTTCAGTTATCTCTCCACAGATAACTTGCAAACCTATACACCTAGCCTTTATCTCCTTCTTGAATTCCAGTCATTCACTGCCTAATACTTGATGGGCTTCTCCCTCTGGGTGTCCCATCAGCATTTCAAATTTAACATGTCCAAAATGGAACTCAATTTCTTCCCTCCATAAAGTGATTCCTCCTCCAAACTTCCAGTATGCATTCTTGAAGCCATCTTTAACGCTTTTTTGTCCTTCATCTTCTCCCCTAAAAAAAAAAATCCAATCATGTATCTAGTCTTGTGGATTCTACCCCTATAACATTTCATAATCAGTGACCTCCTCACCACTCACACCGCCACTTTCTGGGTTCAAGCCTCCATTATCTCTTTCCTGGACTATTGCAACAGCCTCTCAATTGTTCTTCCTTCCGTCTTTTCCTTCTCAAATCCATCCTCCACACATCTGTCAAATTGATATTCTTAAAACACAGACAGGCAGTATTGGACAGTGGATAAAGAGCTGTTCTCAGCATCAGGAAGACATGAATTTAAGTATGGCCTCTGATTCTGATTGGTTACATGACCCTGGGCTTTGATTTAAGATTTACACTGGGAAAGGAAGTTCCTCATGAGGAACTCCCAACACCAATTAAATTACTGGTTCAGTTAAAAAATAAAAGACTTAGATGTAACTAAATCACTTTTCTGCTCAAAAAATGATCATTGGTTCCTTGTTGTTTGTAAGGTAAAATATAACTCCCTTACTCTGGCGTGTAAAACCCTTCACTTAACTCTCCAGATATATGTTGTATTTCTCCTCTTCATGCACTCTGTATTTCATCCAGACTGGTCTGCTAACTCTTCCATTATCTCTATGTTACATAGCCTGATTCTTTGTCTTTGCCCAGGCTGTCCTCCATGCCAATGTTGCCCTCACCTCTGTCTCTTAGACACAATCCTTACCTTCCTTCAAGGCACAAATCGCGTTACCTCCCAACCAAAAATTTTCCAGACTCCCTATTTATATATTCTCTCCCTCTTTCCTTCTGTCTCTCTCCTTTTCTGTCTCTCTCCCCTTTCTTCCTCCTCCTCCTCCTCTTTCTTCTCTCTCTCTGTCTCTGTCTCTATCTTTCTGTCTCTGTCTCTCTCTGTCTCCCTCCAAACTATCTGATATTGACTTCTTTGAGTTCCTCACCAACCCCACCCAGTAGTGTCAGCTCCTGGAGAGCAGGAAGGGCTGTTTGGTTTTTCTTGGGATGACCAGAACTTAGCACAGTGCCTTGCACATAGTAGTTAATTAAATTTTTGTTGAATTAAATTTCACAAGGTTCACCAACTCTGTAGCCTTGATTGCAGAGCCTCACAGTGGATGGAGCAGCTTTCTGCTTTCCTTGCTTCTACCCAAGAACATCCTATTTTTTGTTGGGTTGGGTAGCAAGAAAACCTAGAGAACAGGTACCTAGATTTTCCTTTCCTTGCATTTTTTTTTTTATAGAAATCTCCAAGTCCCAGAATGACATGACTTCTGACAAACATCTTCTAACAACCAATTACAGGGAGGGTATGGACCAGAAGGAGAGGAGAAGCCAATCTGACACTGCCATCAACTTGACAACCAGGGTACAAGCAAATAACCCAACTCAATCTGGGGTTCCATGGGCTACTCTGAGAACTTTTTCTTAGGGATTGGTGTAGACTCTGGGGCAGCGGGGTGGCATCGGCCCTGAAGTCAGGAAGATTCATCTTTGTGAGTTCAAATATGGACTCAGACACTTATTAGCTGTGTGACCCTGGGCAAGTCACTTAACCCTGCTTGCCTCAGTTTCCTCATCTGTAAAATTATCTAAAGAAGCAAATGGCAAACCATTCCAGTATCTTTGCCAAGAAAACCAAAACATGGGGTCACAAAAATGATGGAAAAGTGAATAACAGCAACAGATGTTCTTAAGTTGTTTTGTATCACTTGGCCTCTTTGGCAGTCTGGTGAAGACTAATTGCCTACATTCATAACTAGAAGAAATGCTAAATTTCAGTTAGAGGTCAGATATAATTCCCCCATCCAAATCCACAGACTCCCTGACATCTACCTATGGATTCCAATTTAAGAACCCCAGGAGAGAAAGGCAACTGAACACATTCCGTGTGAGGTCCATGATAAGTCAATTAAATCTCACTACATTGGAATAGAATGACATTTGCTTCAATGACCTTCCATCTTATTTTGGCTTCGAATTTAGTTTTTTTATGGCAAAACTAAGTGAATTGAAAAAATAATGAAAAGCTCCTGTTTGAGGGAGGTTGAGAAATTAAAGATTAAAATTCAGAATGGATTTAGAATCCAGGTAGGAAAAGGGAAAGAAGTCAATCTAATGTTGAAGCTATGTGCTCTCTGTGTTGCTGCTTGGGAAGGTCAGTGACCTGGGTTAGAATTCTGCCTCAAATATCTACTAGTTGTATGACCCTGGGTAAGTGACTTAACCTCGATGAGCCTTAGACTACTCATCTATAAATTGGGGATGACAGTGCCTACCTCATAGGGCTGTTTTCAGAATTAAATCAGACAAGAGGGACACTTTGCAAACTTTAAAGTGCATATAAATATGAGCACACACCATCATCCTCATCATTACCACAGTGATTTCATGTTTAGAAAGCCTTCTAACAATGCAAAACAAGTTTCATAGGGTGCTAGAGTCAGAAGAGAAATGAAAGACTGTAAAGTCCAACTTGTAAACGAACAAAATCCCCCTCTGTAGCACACCAGAGGTGTGGTCATGGAGTCTTTGTTTGAGAGTCTCCAGTGATGGAGAACTCTCTACCTCTCCAGGTGCCTCATTCTACTTTGGGGTAGCTCTGATAATTAGGAAGTTGCCCCTTCCACAAACCTAAATCTTTGTCCCTGCCACTTAGAACCACTGCTCCTCATTCTGTGCTCTGGGGCCAAATGGAACAATTAATCCACGGCCCTTCGAGTACTGGAAACCTACCAAGATTCCCTGCCAGACCCCTCCCAAGTCTTCTCTTCTCTAGGCTAAACATCCCAAATTCCCTCAATGCAAGTAAGGATAGATTCACATCTACCTTCATCTCTGGCTAAAGGAGTAAAGAACACAGGAGGGCACTGGTGATGCAGCCTGGTGTGCGTGCCATACTGTTGGAAAGACAAACTCTCCTGGCAACTAAATCAAAAGAAATATCTCACCCAAAGCTGCCTTTCAGAGAAAGTAAAAAGTTCAACCCTCTCCCAGGGTTTTATGGCTCAAAGTTTGCTAAGAAGAAAAAAAAACAGAACAAAACAACTTAACCTTAACTTTTTAATGGGTCACTTGCATTTTTATCCCAGTGGTAGATTTTTTTCATTAGTTGCTTCCCTTCAACAAAGAAATCAAACCTTGCAGATAGATGCCACGGTAATGCTTTGGATGGGAGATACAAGAAAGAGGTTTGCATATAGGTGGTATTCTAGTGTCTTATTTGACTAAATCAAAGTGAAAATAACTCCCTGCTCCGGTCCTTTGAGCCAAAGGAGCGTAAATAGAGGAGGACAATTTCAAATAATGAGGTGCAGTGAAGCAAAACTTGCTCTCTGTAGTCTGAGCTCTCCTCCTGGAATAGGGGCCATGTTACCTTTTTTTGAGGAAACTCAATGTGTATGCTTCAAGAGGCAGATAATAATAAAAACCAATTTTTAGATAGCATTTTAAGTGCTTTAAAGGCCTAAGTCTCATAACAACCCTGGGATATAGGTGTTTTATATTTTACATATATATATATAATATATATACATATGTATTATATATTATATATATATAATTTTCATTCCCATTTTATAGATGAGGAAGCTGAAGCTAAGGGAGGTTAAGTGACTTGCCTGGGATCATAAAGCTAGAAAGTGCCAAGGGTGGGATTTGAACCTGATATTCAGTCCAGAATTCAGTTCACATTATGCTGGACCACCTCAAAGACAAATGGATTCTTGCATATCAGAAGGGGAAAGGGGTCCGTGGTGTAGAATATAGACTGAAATCCTAAATATTGGCAAATCACAGCACATGTATTTATAAACATTTGTTATAATAGTAACAAAGACCAACCAATGGCCAAATACTGGGTAATAGTTGGGGTGATATATGGCAATGACTTGGTGTGCTTTGAGATAGTTGCAGTCATGTAGAAGGCCTAGCAGGAACCCTGAAACACTGGCCAGTCAGGTTAGTGATTCACCATTGATTGGGTTAGCACACCATCCAGTAATAGAACTGCTTCTATAAATCTAAGTGATAAATGAAGGACCATTGCAGACTGGACCTACTAAAAGCCATCACAACAGCTTGACTAAGAAGACAGTGACATGATGGGCACTTTGCATTATGGCACAGCATCATGTAAAGATATGTGGGGACAAATCTGAAAAATTAATGCCCTCCTTGATGGAAATGCTTTGGTGCAGTTGGTGCTTATTGTTAAGTTAGAAAAACTATGAGTGTATGTGAAATGGACTGAAGACATGAAGACTTTTATCATGCACCAGAATGACATCATGACAAAACTGGAAACATCAGTTAAAGGCAAAGGTTCCATACAATTTTTGTCAATGATAACCCCAGCTTGATGTTACATGATAACATGCAGATCAATGCAGAACAACTTAGATTAAATGCAGATTTAAAAAGTGTGAAACCTGAGGAGCCACTTAAATCTGAAGAGGAAAATGCTGAAGAATATTTGAATGCATTTGATGTCCATACTTAACAGACTCTCCCATCAATCCTGAAAAGAACTGAGTTTGACTTTCAAAGCAAACAAGGAATTGTATCAAAAAAATCCCATCAATCACTTGATATACATGGATGACATCAAGTTTATGACTTCTTGGAAAGCAGATTAAACAGCTTCCTCATCTCATGGAAACTTTCTTCAACAATATCAAGATGTCATTTTGGCTTCACAAGTGTAAAATTCTTCATGTTTACCAAGGCAGAATAGACTCTAAACTTTAATCTAGAAAATGATGGCAATAGATACAAATACCTTGGTCTTCTCTAGACAAGACATATTAAACATAAGGTTATCAAGGAGAAAGGTGAGGCCCATTAAGAGCAATTAATACCAATGCAATACCATTGTGTGTGTGTGTGCATATATATATATGACACAGTGAAGTAGATAACAAGGTTCTAGAGGGTCTCCAAGCAAAAAACCTGTGCCATGTTAATGAAATTATCCAACACAGATACAGAAAGATCAAACATTTCTCTTTCCAAAAGGAAGAAGAGGATTAACCGATGTTCACTGAGCACACAGAAAACATGTTAAAAATTTTACAGAAATGTTTTCTGGAACAAACAGACTTCACAAGGCAATACTGAAGTCTGACAAAAGGTATATTGCCCTGGTTTCATTGAATGTAACTAAAAATGGTTTAACTCTGGATGACCAAAATGCAAGAATAGAATTTAAAAGGTCTTTATGAGTTGCATTGACACGAACTCAGACAACAATCTCTCAACAATGCAGTATTGAACAAAAGCCTGAGTCTTGGAGATTTATTTACAAATGTAGGGTAATATGATAGTGATTGAGGATCAGGTCATTGCAACCAGAAATTATTGAAAGATTATCCTAGAGAGTCCAGACTTATAGATCATTGCAGAATAATAGTATGATAGTGACTTGTTCCAGGTCCCTTTCTATCTGAACTCCATCAAACAATATAATAAGAATGTTTTTTCATTAATTATAATAATAGATTTTAGCATACTAAATACTAATAATTTCTAAGCTATGTGTAATGAAAAGCTTTCAAAATATAGAGACCTGAGGCAAAGTCAATATGGTTAAGTAAGAGGAAGAAATTCACCCACCAAATCTTCTTCATAAAGATCTAGAAAACTAACCAGACCAAATTCTAATCAGTAAATCCAAGAAAAAGTAACAGTGCATCATTTTTCCAGGGCAGGGAGACTTAGGGAGTCAGACACAGAGGTCTGAGGACACCGGGGACAGGGTCTGGCCAGAACTGTGTTATTTCAGAACATTCTAGAACCTGGGGGGGGAGAATTGAGAGTGGGCACCAGAGCAGGGGACACTGATGCAGGAGGAAATCCCAGAGAATTCCTGAATTAGCACAGGCTGCAGGAATGGCTACCAGCTGGAAACTCTATTACTCACTACCCAGTTCTGGGTCACCGATTCACAGCAAAGAGGAGGGACCCAAGGGAACGATCTCTCCTGGGGTCCTGCATACTGAGTGAGTTCCAGAAAATATAGAGACTTAGGGGAAGAAGTCAAAGTCACAGAGTGGAGAACATATCATCCCCCTCATCCTAACTGCAATTGGAGTTTTCTCAAAGATGGTTTCAATGAGCCTACAGAAGAACTTACATCCTAGTACTTTCATTCAATTACAAAAAAGCAGCTATTTTATCCATCTGTGCAAAAGTCCACAGAATATTAAATTTAAAAGAATAATAGCAAAGTAGAGACCTATTTTTGGACCAGTTTTATCCAAACTGCATTGAAAAAGATAAGAATGGAGTGATTAATAATTAGTTTCCATTCATATTTTCATGTCACTTCATGATTTTTGAATTCATAGCGTCTTTTTCAATGGGTCCAATTCTCAGCATCTGAAAGTTTGTCTTTTGGAATTATGATCCTGATGCCTTCAGCAATATGAACATGTTGCTGAAAATCAAATACAATATTGTATTAACATATACTAGCCTAGGTATTATTTATTGTTATAAGAGCATGCCATCTGATTGGTATAGGAGTATTGTCAAAGATACGTAATGTGCTAAATAAAAGGGCCCTGTTGCTCCCTGCCCCAGAAGAGGTCTGGTGAGTTATAATGGCGGAAGGCCACAAGACAATAACATAGTGAGCAGTTGTCAGCATTCATCAATCGAGCAATAGAGACTGCTCTGTTTCTCCCCCTGCCCAGGCCACTTTGATATTCAGACAATGTCCACATCTTAGCTATTCTGTGAGTATCCTGATATCCCTACCCACAAAATGGGGAGATAACTGTGGTATAGATTAGCAAAGCAGTTGTAAAGCAGATTACATGTGAACACAGAATGATTTATAAATGCTAAATAATTATCATTTGGGCTAAAAATACAACTAGTGAACCTTTAAATAGGACACTTTTCAAGCTGCAGTTATACCACAATGTACCTCAATTAGTAAGGTCTTAAAATCACACTGACAGAGGTCCTTTCACTGAAGAATCTTGAAACATCTCACCAAAATGAATTATAAGTCACAGTATCCCTGTGCGGTACATACAATGGTGTCCACTTTCCAGCTGGGTAGACAAAAGCACAGCAAGTTTGAACCACCTGCCAAAGGTTACTCTGTGAATCAGAGATAATAACTGGGAAAGTAGACCAATATTCATCACCTTCACTCACTTTCTCAATCACTGGAAGTCACATCCACATTCTAAGATGTGAATATAAGATGATCACCAATACACGTCAGTCTAGATTCTCCAGTGGATTCATCCTTATATTTTTCTTTGAAATGTAATCTTCATTTTAAAGAGATAGTAGGAAATGTGTCCAGGTAATGCAGTACTTGAGATGCTCAAGGATGTACAATAGAATATTGAAAATACATATAATTAGAATCTTCCAAGTCCATATAACTCAATATTACCTGACTCCTAAGGTCCTTTCTTTTCACTTGCTGCCCACAGATTAAAGGCAGAACAGCAAATGGAAATGGGGATGGGAAAGGGACTGATGCTAAGCTTCATGGAAGTTGAGACTCAGAGGGAAATGAATTGCCCAAGATCACACAGTGATCACACAGTGGCAAAGCCAGAATTTAAATTTAAGTCCCTTGAGTATAAAACCAATGTTCTTTCCACTATACCACCTGTCAATCAATCATTTTGTTAGGCTTGTGAGACAGGTTATACCAGTAGATTGTGATTCATCGAGGACTCAGAGAACTTTAGTGGACAATCCAAGTCTTGTTTTTCTTGAGATGTTGTTCAGTGTTCATTTCACAAAGAAACGTTAAGATGGCGGCTCAAGGAGGGAGAGGCTCAGTATTGACTATTGTTCCTGATCTTCTTGCTTCCATGACTACCTCTAAAGTCTACTTTTATATGGAAAAGTCTCAAATCTATGTTGATTGCCATTAGAGAGTAGAGGTTTTATTAAAATAAAATCATTTTTATCGGTATTCTACAATATAACGTTTAGACTGATAATGGCCTTTTCTCAGGTTTCATCCCTCTTCACCTTTCTTCTACATAATAATGATAATAATAACAGTAACAATAGCATTTATATAACACTTTAAAGCTTGCAAAGAGCTTTTCGTGTTAACTCACTTTGATACTGCATTTGACACTGTTGACCAACCTGTCCTCAACATGCTCCCCTCTCTGGGCTTTTGGAACACTGCACTCCTGGTTCTCCTACCTGACTGACTGCTCTTTCAGTCTCCTTCGCTGTCTCATCATCCAATGTGAGTGTCTGCCAGTGCTCTACCTTGGGCTTTCTTCTTTCGTTATACTCTCTTGGTGATGTCATCGGATTCCCTGGGGTTAATGATGATTTGTCTGCAGATGATTCATGGAGCTATCCGTCTAGCCCAAGTCTTTCACTGGTGAACTCCAGTCTTGCATATTAACTGCCTAATGGAAATTTTAGAGGTGGGATTTGAACTCAGGTCTTACTGACTTCAAGTCCAGCGCTCTATCCACTCTACCACACTGCCTCTCTGAGAGATAAAATTTTCAGAGAATCATCAAATTCTTTGTTTTTAATGTGATTTTTATCAGGTAGCTAATGTCCTCTATTACCACTATATCTGGCCTCTATAATAATCTTATAAATTCAACATCTTATTTCCTCTAACTTAATAGATGGCTTATAGATATTCACAATGATTCCCCTATTTGTTACTTTCTAAGATATTTATTATTACCACATTGATGAACAGGTTGTACATAGTATATGTCAGCTTGTGTGTGTTTTCCTGTGCTCACCAAACATATGAACAAAAGCAAACAGGTAGGTGAACCATATGATCAGTGATTTTTTTTTTCTTTTTCAGACTGTCAGCTTAACAGATCATCTTAAACTCATCAACCAAGAGGATGATGAAAACTTTATTAATCCCATTTTGGAGCAAGAAAATATTATACCTACTTCTACTCATAGCATTATGTTCTCTGGTGGCATCAAACGTGTGAGTTTTGATTTAATGTGGTTGGCATATGACATATGAATATCATAACAATATCAAGCTGAAGTTGGGATGCAGGGGATATAATTGGGTTGTGAGCTCATGTATAGACTGAATGAAACCTAGAAGTGAGTACTTTCTTTTAGTCAGAAATGAATAAATAACTTTTCCATGCTTTCCCATGGCCATATCAGCAGGAAGTATCAGCTGGCCATGTGGTGCAGTGTTCAGAGCACTAGACTAAGATGAGAAGATCTGGGTCCAAGCCACTGCTCTGACATTTACTAACCATGTAACTTTAAGTAAGTGGCTTAACTTTTCTTAATCTTGCCCGAAAAAAGGGCAATGATAACGATAACAATAGGTGTACCTAACACCAACATTTTAATGAGTTTGCATTGTATTATATTAGGACTAGAAGGTGTTAAACCTTTAATAAAGTATTGACCATTGTGGGATGCCACTTGTCATAGTGTGGGTGAAGTAGTACCCAGATAATGATAATAATAATAATGATAATCCCAAAGATGCTTCCAGTGAACCTATAGAAGGTGAGCTTAAATCCCAATACGTAAGTTACAAAAAACCAGTCATTTCAACCCCCTGTTCAATGCCTCACCAAACACTAAATACTAAAGGGTAATGTCAGGAGAGTGACTTATCCCAGGACCATTTCAGGATGATCTCTGTTGAAAAGGGAGAGCAAGATAATAATATCTGACCTTTACATAGCTATTTGGCAGGATTCTAGGTGCTCTGAGTTCAAATGTGCCCTGAGACACTTATGACTTGTGTGACCTTAAGCAACTCACTTAACCTCTGCCTGCATCAGTTTCCTCAGTAAAATGGAAATAATAATAGCACTTACCTCCCAGGGTTGTGGTGAGGATCAAGTGAAATAATATTTGTAATGTGCTTAGCACAGTGTCAAACACATAGTAGGTGTTAAATAAATGTTTGTTCGCCTTTAAGCTTTGCAAAGCATTTGACTTATACTTTCTCATTTAACCTTTACAACAACCCCATGAGATGGGCAATATAGTTATTATTATGCCCATTTTATAGATAAGGAAACTGGAACTCACAGAGGCTAGCCAACTTACTCATGGTTCCATAGCTAGTTAAGTACTAGAAGAGAGATTTTCAGTTTGTTTCAAGATTAGTAGCCATACAGCATCACCAGGATAACATTGGAGGTAAAAAGATAGGGTTGTATGTCAGTTTGGTATTGTTATAAGTATTATATGATTCCCAAAATGTATTCTAGACCACTCTCCTCCAACTATTCCATTCGGAACTCAGCTCATTGTCCATATGGAGTACCTATCCAAATTATACAGTATGTCCTGAAAGTACTGTGGTTTGAGGCTAGTAAAGCTTAAAGCTTGAAACTGTACTGTGTGAGCACAGTTCAAACTATGGTAGTATCAATTAATCTGTACAGGTTATTAAGCTTTTGGTTAGAAACATTGATTAGAAGTTTGGTGGAACCAAATACCACATGAGTGACTTTTCAGGATCCTTGAGGAGAGGAAAACTATTTTTATTTGTTTATTCATTTAATCATACCAGAAACATTAAGTACCAACTAGACGTGGTTAAATCTCTGCTTAATTCCCAAATATATTTATATCCTCTGCTTTAAAAAATCAATGGAAAAATATCCTACCTGAATATTTTCATATAATTTACATTTTCCTCTGTGTTGTGTACTATTTTTTCCACCCCGTCTCCTTCCTTCACCTTGGAACTCTGCCTTGGGCTGGGAATGCACTAGCAGTGAGTGAAAACTCGTCTCAAACACTATACATAGCCAGATCCACACCCTATTTCACATCACACCCAGCCAGCTTTGAGGAAACCTAGACCTACCCAGCATGAACATCCTTCCATTTCTACCATACACCCCTTTCCATGTCTGGCTCTTACTCTGAGAGCGATAATCAAATCAATACTACCATTGTTACTGGAAAAGTTATGACAATCTTGTGCCCAATGGCTCCTTTCAAAATCTCTGTGACTGTGCAGAACAAAAGCACCTTCCCTGGACTCTGCTGTTCTGTACATGCTGTATCCATTTATTAGAAGGTAAGCATGTATGGTCTGATGCTGAGGGAAGTGAGCAGAACCAGGAGAACATTGTACACAGCAACAGCCACATTGTGAGGTAATGAATGTTGATGGACTTAACCCTTCTCAGCAATACAAGGATCTAAGACATCTCCAAAGGCCTCATGACGGAAAATGCTATCCACATCCAAGGAAAGAACTATGGAGTTTGAATGCGGATCGAAACATACTATCTGCTATTTTTTTCTTCTGTTGTGTTTTGTTTCCTCTTTCTGGTGGTTCCTCCTATCGGCTCTAATTCTTACAACATCACTAATGTGAAAAAATGTTGAATAGAAATGTATATGTAGAGCCTATATCAGATTGCTTGCCGTCTTGGGGAGGCAGGTGGAGAGGGAGAGAGAGAAAAATTTGAAGCTCAGAAGCTTATGGAAGTGATTGTTGAAAATTCAAAATAAATTAATTTAAAAAAAGAATGTAAGCACCCTGAGGTCAAGGACTGTCTGACATTTGTTTTCACATCCCCAGTCCTTGGCATAATTCTTGACACATGCTACTTGCTTTAAATAATGCTTGTTGATTGATTGATTAAGAATATATTACCGCTGGCTGAATTTACCAGCAAAAAATGTACACATTGGAGCCCCTGACTAGTTTCAGAAAATCAGCGCCGTAATTACTTAGAAAGATCAGCGAACACCAAGTTGCGGTGGTGTGTGTGTGGTTGTCATGTGGTATTTTTTGTCACAGTATTTTATGTTGCGAGAGGATGTAGGGCTGAGGTCCAGAGATGGCCCTCTGTATTTCATGTATTTACAGCACGGCTTTGTAAAATCTCATTTTGACTCAGTAAACCTCTTTACTCCAGCCATGTTGAAGTGCTTGGGGATATCTGATTGGAGGAACTGGGGGAAGGTGCATGAGGGTGTTTGTATTAGTCCATAATGCAGCTCAAATTGCTGCTAAGCCCGCCCCCAGCATGTACCCAGCTGGGGAGACGCTGTGAATTCAGATTCAGCCCAGTGCTGTAGATTTATAATAGCTCCCATCCTGACAGTAGGCTGCTTAGGAAGCATTTCTATTTTTCCAAGCAAATGAGGCTGATGTGCATGGCTTCCATGCTTGATACAAGGTTACTGTGCAGTATTGCTGTATTTCTGGTCTTCACATTTCTTAGTGGTTACCATTTCCTATTGCAGAGGTAGGATTGCACAGCGGCTGCTGCTAGATTTAGAGTTGGGAGCACCTGGATTCAAATACTGCCTTATTAGCTGTGTGTCCCTGGGCAAATTACTTAATTACTCTGAGCCTCAGGTGACTCTCAAAGACAATGAGGCATAGAGGAAGGTCACAGATGAAATCACCAGGGCTTGATAGACGATTTCAAATGCAATATTCCTTTTCATTAAGATTTTTTTCCAGTTCCTAACTTTCCTTCTTTAAACAGAAAAGTATATATGTGGGAGTGGAAGGCTAGGTGGAGATGAATGTGAGGAGGTATTACATAGATTTTGAAAGCAGTAATAATAGCTAGGATTTATATAGAGCTTTAAGGTTTGCACAGCACTTTACATATATTTCATTTGATCTTAACAACGCCTCTGTGAGGTAAGTGCTGTTACTATCATCCCCTTTTTACAGATGTAAAAACCAAGGCTAAGAGAGATTAAATGACTTATCCAAGGTGTCACAGCTAGCAAGTGTCTGAGGCAGAATTGAAACTCATGTTTTTCTGACTCCAAATCCGGCATTCTATCTACTGGGTCATCTAGCTACCAATAAGGAGTATTATATGCAGTAACTTCTTGAGATTTCCCTTCTGCCCCAACACCTGGAAGTCATTAGCATGAATTCTTAATGGGCTCTAGACAGTCCTTTTTTTCTTTTTTTTGTCATTGTGCAGTACTCTATCCAGCCTGAGAGAGCTTATTACTGTAAACAACTGAGGGTAATCTTAGCTGTCACTGCATTTTTTATGTAGCATATTGTTCCTTCTGACATTTTCATCCTTGTGGCATGCTCTGTTCTGTGGAGGGAAAACATGGAGGCATGTTTAGGTTGTGACATTTAAGAATTCAAATTGCTGGAATTAGTACCACTGACCACAGGACCCCTGGGGGGGGCAGGGTGTGCTCATACTTAGTAGATTGTATTTACCTTGGTTTAATAACCACAGCAGCTGCACTGAAATCCATCCCATATATTATGCTTATTTGTAGATTTTAACCCAATAAAATTGAGATGATATGGCAGTGAGTTATAGGGGCTGAGGGAAATGAAGGAACCTAGGATAATTCTAAAGTTGCAAACCTGAGTGATTTGAAGGATGGTGGCGCTATCCTAGGAAACAGGGAATTCTGAAGGAATTGGATTTGGGGGGAATCCAATGAGTTCATTTTAGACATGCTGAGTTTGAGATGCCAATGGAGAAGATTTGGGGGAAGATGTTGAGCTGATAGTTCATAATGTGGAACTAGCATTCAGGAGAGAAGTAAGACTTGCATAGGTTTGGGAACCATCTTCATAGAACTGATCATTGAATCCAAGGGAACTGATGAGAATTTCAAGGAAGAGGGTAGAGAAAAAGAAGGAAAGGATGGCATGGGGCACATCCGTGCTAAGAGGTCAGAAGGCATGATGACCCAACAAAGGAAAATCACGAGGTAACTAGGAAAAGAACCAGGAGAGATCAATGTCACAAATTCAAAGGGAGGAGAGAACATACAGGAGCAAGGATAGCCAACAGCAACAAAAAATACAGAGGGCTAGAAGAGGCTTAGGACTGGGAAAAGATCCCCAAATTTAGCAGTAAAGTGATCCTTGGTAGCCTTGTCTGAGTGGAGCAGTTTCAGTTGAATGATGGGGTCAGAAACAAGACTGTAAAAGGTTGAGAAGCATATGCATGTGTTATGACCATAATTAAAAAGAAAAAA